CCCCCCCCCAGAAAAACACACAAACAAAAAACACACTGGGCCTCGACAACAACGAAAAGCAAAAACAAACAAACAAATAACAGTAACAGCTTCAACACAAAACAAAACAGTCCTATTTATGGAGGCTGTTTTGGTCGGTAGGTCCCGAGAGCTATAAAAAGGTTGCACTGGGCAGACTTTGTCCCAGTGAGTGACAAACAACATCACAACAACAACACCAGGCCTGCCCTACTTGCTCGACCTTTTGCCAACGCATGCGTGTGGCTTGTTTACAAGAGAGAGCTGCCCGACCACGTGACCAAAAAAATGGCGACGTCTGGAAATTTGCGTCCTTGAGTACCAATGGTTATTCCGTTGTGCCGCCCATTGTTTGCTGTCATGTGAATATATTTTGTGGCTTATCTTGTCCTATTGGATTTATGACTAATGTGTCTGAAAGCGCAAACTGTATTCTTTATCCTAAATCAGTGAGCTGTGTGTGATGTGTTGATAATTTCCCCAACAGCAGAGGCCGCTGTAGGCTGTAGGCTATGTACTATGTGTATGATGACCCACTGCTAGATTCTAGTGGTGTGTAGATCTCGCCGGGTGAAACTGAAACTCCTACATTTGCCAGCACAGGCAGCCAACAGCTGATTGCAAGCGAACTCTCTCAGATCTAGATCTAGAATCTAGATATTAGATCTAGCAGGACCGTTTTTTTTGTCTTGTTTTCATATGGATGTTTTTAATGAAGGGAACCTGACTTTCATATTCTCATTCTGTTTACTTTCTACTTGATGGAATTGTATTTAGACTCGATAGGCTCTGAGACTGAGAACCTTCCATGGACGTGGTGTTACTGTTACACTGATGGTTCAACGAGACAACAGTAACAGTGGTTGCTGTTTGTGTGGATGTGGGTGGATGTGAGGTGTGAGAACAGCCAACCATAGACTACGCACAGCAGATTGTGTCAACTTTGTTACTGAGATTAAGTTTGATTAGAAGGCGAAGGTTACTTAGAATCTAGATCTAGAATCTAGATCTAGATATCTAGATCAGTCAAGAGATATTCAGACGTGTTTTTTTTTCTTCATCACTTCATTCATCTGGATCAGAAAGGTAAGAAACAACCAAGGCATTTGATGAATTTGAAAGAAAGTAGAAAATTAAAATCTAGATCTAGATTTAGATTCTAGAAGGAAAGGCATCCACTCGTTCAGTTAGTTTGGTACCTTAGTTTGCACCTTGGCTTGGATGGTAGCCTTGACTGCCTTGGCCTTGAGTTTCACCAGTCACTTGAGTCAAGTAATTGCCATATTTTTTTGTGTGCAGAACGCACATCATGGCCACTAAACCTTCGCAGAGATAGGATCTAATAATATCTAGATCTAGATGTAGATTGTTTTAAAGGAAATATCAAACGTAATTGCAAAATATCAAATTATGGAGAAATACACAAAGAAAGTGGCTATTCTCACCTGCCCGGAAGTTCTCGCAAGATCAACTCCTCCCCTCTTCTCTCTCTCTCCGTCTCTTTCTGAATACTGTCTATCGGTGTGGACGATCAAATTGACCAAAACAAAGTTAAAAAATGATGTTAAAACACAAAAGTAAATAAATTTGGTTGTCTACAAAGATGCTACGGCTATTTAACTTTTCGAATCGAG